CCAGACCTGTGTCCATTACTGTCCTGTCCCCAGGCACTGCATATTGCAACATGTGTGGACATAAATGACCACTCTGGACTGAACATTCCAGAACCCAGACAAAAACGCCATTAAGAATTGATAAATGCTTGAGGATATAACTGTTTAACAGGATCTAAACAGTATACAAGAGATACATGCAGTAAACCTGACAGGCTGCCCACTCTGTTTAGTGCCAGTTCAAATAACATATCAGGAAGAGCATCGGAAAAGTTAAGGCTCACCTTGTGGAGGGGCTGGTGTCTAGGCCCAGCTCAGGAGAGGGCTCAGCTCACATGCTCCAGATGACCAAGCCCCCGAGAGCATCGTGTTCTGGGAAGGAGGGAAGGATGGCGATGGTGCCGCTGCTCCTGCTGAGATGGTGACGTTTGGTGTCCTTCTCACCACTTTGCTAAAAATTCTCAAGGTCAGAAAGTTTTGTAATTATTTCTATTTCCTGATGTAACATTGACAATTAAAACAATGCATATTCACACTTAGAGTGCAACGTGACAATGCACACAAATGCTGTGGAACCATTGTCAACACAGAGCTAAGGATGGTACACCACGCACAGGTTCCATTCTTTGACAGTGAGGAAGCTTGACACGTTTTCACAAATACAGACCACACAGGTGTCAAAAGCCCTCCTTTGACTTTCTGAGCCTGCATTACCACACTTCACGTGAACTCCCCAGAGTCATCTATGTTGTCACAAATACCAGGACTTCCTCCTTCCATGGATGAACAATCTCCTGTTTTGCAAAGATACCACATTTCCTTTCTCCATTCCTTCTCTCATGGACACCTAGGTTAATCTCCTGGCTTGCTGATGTAAACAATGTGACACCAACCGAAGATAAGAAACAAATATGCCACTGGAAATTACTGGAGTTTGGAATCGATGGCATTACTAGTGTTTGTGTGCTCATGGTATAACTTCCAGTCACGTTCTTATTTACATTCTCACTGTCAGCCTGCCTGCTTTACATGACCCATCTTGGCCCCCAACACTCGGTATCTCTCATGTGTTTATAGCATTTTTACTGTGCACTTTTGTACAAACAGGGACCTTGCACTCACCCTCTGCTTTCTCACTCAAGGTTGGTTATCTACCATTTGAGTCAGGCCTCAATTTTCTTTTCCCTTTTGCATCCATGACTAGGACTCAAAGTCAGAACCTGATGCTTTCTCTCATTGACTAACTGCCTAAAACCTGAGCCATGCCCCCAACACCAGGGTTGATGATTTTTTTTCGTTTCCTTCATTTCAGGGTTTTTGCTAGTTAACGGATTCCTCAGCCCATGTGTCCCACGGCAGAGCTGGCAGTCCCTCTGTGAGCACACCTGATGTTACCTGCTGACAGCTCAGCTCTCTTCCCCAGCAGAGAGCTGCACACAGGTCAGAGCTCAGTGCCACAGTGTCTCCCCCCTGACTGCTTCTCTGCCATGTCCTGGGTCCCCAGGAACTCCCTGTCGCTGCTCCTTTCCTCTCTTCCTCAGAATCTGCTCAGCTTTGTGTCAGTGGATTCTTGTTCATGGACAAAAGTGTTGTTCACATTCAGCTCACCATCTTGGCCAGCACTAGGAATCACTGTAACCAATGAATCGAAAGACTGATGCAAGGAAACTATCAAAAGGTTAATAAAACAATTTGAAGAAGACACTAGTCACTTGTTGATAGTTACCAAATACTCATTTACCTATGTTTTGTTATGAGTGTGACTCACTGAGGTTATTACAAGTTCACAATAGACATGATTTCGTCACAAATACACAATACATATGAAAGAGAAAAATAGATTATAACAAATGATACACCAGAGCCCACTATCAAGCCTCTGCCTGAACTCTGGCCATCCTGGTTGGTGGTCAGAATGAAGTAAAATGCGGCAAGGCCACACCTGATCTCGGCTCAGGAAGGAGGCTCTGTGAGCTCACAGATGAGCTCCATTCTCCTGGAACACACCAGAGACTGTGGGCCCTCCTTGGCTGTGCAGGCCCAGACCAGGCATGGAGCTCATACCACGGGAGACGCTGCCAGTGTGAAAACAATTCACCATTGTTATACACTCTTGCGTGTGCACAAGGAGGTCACAGGCGTGCTGTACTTTGTGTTTTGTTTGTGATCAGAAATGCTGACAGAACGATCACCAGGCACAATGGCAGAGTGAGAGGACATGTGTGTCCCTCTGCACCCCAGACAGCTCTCAATGTTCTCACACTCTGCCTCAAGCTTCCAAGGACCTGCAGATACAGTGTGAACTACAGCACGTAGTCAGTGCGTCATGGTGTCTCCAAGGTGACCATTGTTACCAAACTCCTCCAGCACAGTCACCTCTGCTCTGGGAGCCCAATCTCTAGACTTCCCGCCAGAGCTGCTTTATAGCAGAGGACATTCAAATAGGACGTCCCTCTGCCCATGAAAACCAGCCCATCCCTGACCTGAGCTCTTTGAGCTGATTCCACCAGTGACTGAGCACAGACCATCACCATGGAGCCGGGACTGCGCTGGGTTTCTCCTTTGTTGCTCGGTTGAAAGGTGATTTATGGGGAGCAGGGGATACTGAGTGTGCAAATGGACATGAATGGGAGGAACAGTGGATGTGTGTGACCATTGCTGACCAGGATTCTCTGTGTTTACAGGTGTGCAGTGGAGGTGCAGCTGGTAGAGTCTGGGGGAGGCTTGGTGCAGCCTGGGGGGTCCCTGAGACTCTCCTCTGCAGTCTCTGGATTCACCTTCAGTAATTCCTGGATGAGCTGGAGCCGCCAGGCTCCTGGGAAGGTACTGGACTGGGTAGAAGAAATTAATACAGATGGTGGTAGCACATGGTACGCAGACTCTGTGTAGGGCCCGTTCACCATCTCCAAAGACAACAGTAAAAGCACACTGTACCTGCAAATGAGCAGCCTGAGAACCGAGGATACGGCCCTGTATTACTGTGCAAGACACAGTGAGAGGAGCCAGTGGGCACCAGACACACAGGTGCAGCAGCCTAGGCCAGCAGGCGCTTAGCCCCGTCAGCTGCAGGTGTGATGAGCAGGTGGCCCTGGGGTCTGTAGATGACGAGGTTGGATGGGATTCTCCGCCACAGTTCTGGATCTGGTCACTGCTTGATTCTAGAAGGACTCATGTGTTCTTAATTGTCTCTGTGTTGTCCACACCTGTCCTTCACACTAAATCCCCTGCAGACATGGCCTGTATTCAGTTTCTAGACCCAGGCCCAGTACCAGGACCTGGAGGTCAATGAGGCTGTGGCCCTGGCTCCTGCATGCCTGGGAAGAACTCACTGGTGTCCCCAGGCTGCGTGCCCTGGACTGTCCTGTCCTCCTCTCTATGGACTCTGGCGGGAAGCTCAGGGGATACCTGTAGCTAAGGGGACATG